GGTTGGCCATTTCCTTCTCCAGGTCATTTTACGGATGAGGAAACTGAGGTAAACAGGGTTAAGTGACTTGCCCAGGGTCACGCAGCTAGTAAATGTCACTTAGTATTAGAAAGAGCAAAAAATTCAGTGTAAGAAAGATCATTCTCTAGTTAAAGAAGCTTTGCTACCTTGCAAATTCAAAGACAGTTGAATACTTATAAAATAGTTGGAGAAAGTATTGAAGTAATCATACTTACTCATTCCCCCAGTCCAAACGCACTGTGATGTGTCTCTTGACCTCTCGCACCTGATCTTGAGTAAGGTGACCTGACAGCAGCTGTCTCCGAAGGTCAATAAGTTCATTCATTACATGACGTAATTTGTAGAAAAGATCCACTTTGTGTTTCTGTAAGGGAATTTTTGGTGTTGGGGAGAAAAAAGAGGAATAGGGATAGGGAGTGAAAAAAAAGACAAAAGGAGAAATCAAATTAACAATATAAAATCCACTCATTTCTCTGATCCACAAAATGGTGATTCAAAGGATAAAACTGTTTATTCACCCCTTTTTCATGTGACCTTAAAAAACTTTGTTAATTTCCCATATGCATAAGGTCTCTTAAGGTTTAAAAATATATCATGAAAATGGCCTAGAAAATTAAAATAATGTAATTTTACAATGCATTTATTTCCTGATTGTTTAGCTAGTCCAGTTTCTACACCCTTATTTTTGGTTTATTTTCCAGTTTTTTTTGTTTTATTTTCTGTGACCCTATTTGGGTTCACTTTACTTTTAGACAAAACAAAACCATTAAAGCATAATCAGAAATTTAAAAAAATAGATGGAGCCTCCAGCTTAGTTCCCTGAAAACAGCTCCTGCAGCTGTTCAGTACAGATTTGTACAGCTATAGATGCCTGTTCAACTCTGTGGCAGGGAATTGAGAGTTTTGGTAAATATTGGTAAAAATTTAAAATTTGGCAAAAAAACTACTGTAAATTTCAAGTGTTGATGCAGGAGGTGGGAGGGTCATTGATCTAATGCATATAGACCTTTGGTCAACATAAAGTTTTAGACCATACCATTAAATTCAGTGCAGGTTTCCAAAATTCATCTAGATTTCTAAATATATTTTATAATAAGTATTATTAGCATTAGAGCTTTCAACTTCTTCCTCCTAGGATCAGATTTACTCCTTTACTTTTATTCTTGATGACTAATTACGAGTGCTGCCTTCATAAGAATAATGGAAATATTTTCATATACTTTATTGTGAACATCTGTAATATTTTTGTTATTCAGTCGTTTTCAGTCATATTTGACTCTTCATGACCCCATTTGGGGTTTTCCTGGCAAAGATACTGGAGTGGTTTGCCATCTTCTTCTCCAGCTCATTTTATAGGTGAGGAAACTGCGGCAAACAGGATTAAGTGACTTGCCCAGGGTCGCACAGCTAGGAAGTATCTGAGGCTGGATTTGAACTCATGAAGACGAGTCTTCCTTATTCTAGGTCTGGCACACTATCTACTATGCCACCAACTGCCCATTTGTAATGTTATCTTTGTTTAAATTTTAGTGCCATCTCCTACCCAGACAGAATTTCTCTGTGATTTTACAAACTGAGTCAGAATAAAAAAAAATAGAATCATATATGCTTACAAATTAAATATAGACATTAGAGTGCCTCAGATTTTTTCTTCACTGGAAATAAATGCAATTTTCTTTAGACATTGTCATTAATAAACTAAAACTTCCATTTTAATTCTTCCTTTGCAATGGTTCTTGATGGGTACACCTTATTCAAAAGATAGAGGAGAGAGTGCAGTGGAAAAGCATTGTATGTTAAGAAAGTATACTCAAGTGAAGAAATTCAGGAACGAGAGGGAGGAAAACTTGATGAACAGCATTTGAGTGAAGGTCAATGAAGGGAGAAATAGGAGTGATTTTGTTATTGCGATATACTACAGACACCTGGACAAAAAGAGAGAATAGATGAGGAGACTGCATAAGATCTTGTGGTTATAATTAACTAGATACCTGCTAGAGCTCTCTCTCTCTCTTTGTCAAATGCAGAGCAGTTAATAACTTCTTCTTCTTCTTTTTTTTTTTTTTGGTGAGACAATAGGGGTTAAATGACTTGCCTAGGGTCACACAGCTAGTGAGTGTTATGTGTCCGAGGCCGGATTTGAACTTAGGTCCTCCTGACTCCAGGGCCGGTGCTCTATCCACTGTGCCACCTAGCTGCCCCCAGTTAATAACTTCTTGACTTACTTTAGTCATAATTTCATCCTTCAAAAGGTAGAAAAACCAATCAGGAGAAATTCTATTCTGGATCTGATTCCCACTAACATGAAGGAACTGATTCAAATGATGCGAATCCTTGGTGAGGGGGGTCGGGACAGAGAAGGAAGTGAGTCCTCCTTCTAAGAGTTTGTGATAGAGAAGAAAAGGAAACTTGAGCCTCATCTGACATGCACTCCAGATTTGAGGAAAGCAAATTTAAAAGAATTCAGAGAAAAGATAGGACCAAGATGTTATGGGGAAAGTCAGACTAGGAGGGATGGGAGATGTTCAAGAAAGAAATGCTTTCCATCATGTTTCCACCTCCTGACTCCTGAATTTCTTCATATGAATATACTTTCTTAACTCACAATGCTTCTCCACCAAGCCTCTCTTTTACCTGTCCCCTTTCTTTTGTATAGAACCTCTAAGATACAAGTACAAAGGAACTGATTCCAAGTAGGACAAAAATGGGATTTGTCTGAAAACCCTGATGTGGCTATGCAGAGGACTCACCGACCAAACAAATTATGTTAAAAAGAAAAAAAAGAAATGTATCAGAAAATAGAAGCAAAGCCAGCTGACAGGATGCATATAAGAGCACGGCATGGTCCTGTGAAAATAGCATCAGGAATGCTAAAGTTCTGAAAAATTGAGGCTGATGAGAGAAGTTCAGGAAAAGAAAAAAAAACTATATTTGAAAGGCTAACAGGAAGTTGATAGTCAAGATAAGGAAGGAAAGAGTAAAAGACCTTCTTGCTGCACTTCATGAATTCAGATGACTCAGATAACAACATCTTTAGGTACTGAAAGTGCTAGCAGATGTAACTGCTGGACCACTGACAATGATATCTGAGTGATCAAAGAAAATAGCACCAAGGGTAAAGGTTTTTAAGTGTCAAGGTCAAGAAAGAGAAAAGAACAGAATTTATAAACCAGAGGCCAGTGGGCTTGACTTTGACTCCTAGGAAAATTCTAGAATGGATCATCAAAATGATGTTGGCAAAAATTTAGAAAGGGAAGAAAAGATTACAAAAATCCAGCATGGCTTCATCAAGAATAAGCTAAGTTCTTTCAGTATCAGATCTCAAACTATACTACAAAGCAGTAATCATGAAAATGATGTTTGTACTGGTTAAAAAAGAGAGAAAGATCCACAGGGGAACAGATACAGTACAGAAAATACAGAAGCAAATCAACATGATAAACCCAAAGTCCATGGGTACTGGGGGAGAGGGTCACTATTTGAAAATTTTGCTGGGAAAACTGGACAAATAGTCTGGCAGTAATTAGATGTAGACCAATACTTTACACAATATACCAAGGTAAGCTCCAAATGGATATATCACCTAAGTATATAAGGTCATATCATAAATTAGAAGAGTGAAGAAGACATTACCTTTCAGATCTATGGATGTAGGAGAAAAATCATGATTAAACAAGTCATAGGAAGGCTCACACAAAATAAAATAGACAGTTCTGGTTACATAAAATTTTAAAGTTTTTGCACAAACAAATCTAAAGCAGTAAAAATTAGAAGGGGAATAAGTGATTGGGAAAAATTCTTTGCAATAAGTTTCTCTGATGAAGGTCTCATTTCCAAGATATATAAGGACTTGATTCAAATTTACAAGATTAAGAGCCATTCCCCAAATAGATTAACAGTTAAAAGATGTGAATAAGCAGTTATTAAAGAAAGAAATTTAAGTTACCAGAGTCACATGAAAATGCTCTAAATTACTAATAATTAGAGAAATTCAAATTAAAGAAACTTTGAGGTTTTACCTCACACCTATGAAACTTCAGGTAAAGCTTACAAAAGAAGAAAATGACAAATGTTGAAGCATTGTTAGTAGAACTGTGAATTGGTCTGGGCATTCTGGAAAGCAATTGGGAACTGTGCCCAGAAAGTTACTAAATTCTGTATACTCTTTGACCCAGCAATACCATTATTACGCCAAAGAATGAGGAAAAGGATGTATACATACAAAAAATGTACCAGCTCTTCATTGTGGTCCCAAATTGGAAACTAAGCAGGTATCTTCCTAATTCAGAATGGCTAAATAATTTGTGGTATACTGATGTAATGAAATGTTGGGTGCTATATGAAATGATGAAATAGACGATTTCAAAGGAAATAGGGAGGACTCATATGAATTGCTACAGAATGAAGTGAGCAGAGGGGCAGCTAGGTGGCGCAGTGGATAGAGCACTGGCCCTGAAGTCAGGAG